ACTTTGCAGAAAATAATGGAGTCGATGGCATACGAAAATGTCATGAAAGTTTCAAAAATCACGGCTACTTTACCAAGCACCTTCTCATCGCCTTAGCAGTCGGATTACATATCCTTATCACGATTTTAAAAATTTAATTTCAGATGTCCAAACTACATATATGAGATTAAGAAATCACTGATGCTCTGGTGAAAAGAATTTTCGACACGGCCTCCATGATTTCAGATTTAGTTTCAATTTCAGGCCTGAAAAAATTCGGGAAAAACTTTAAATAGCGAAGAAAAAAACAGTTCCCGAAAGATTACAAAAAGAAAAAACGGAATATCCTGAAAGGTCTTGAAAATGTTCCAGTAATATTACGAAAAGTCCCCAAAAATACTCCGATGAGCCTCGAAAAAATCCCGAATAGTACTGGAATGACATGAAAAAAACTGGACACGTAGTATTGCGGAAACGAAAGTGCCGAAATATTTCTATGAAGTTTCCGAACAGTCCAAACAGGCACCAAAAAATTCCGAATAAATCTGAAAAATCCCAAAAGGACCGTAAAAAAATCCCATGCGAAATGCAATGGAAAGACCAAACACCGAGTATTCCGAACACAGAAAATTTTAATAAATTTGCGAAAAGTCCCAAAAAAATATCTCGATCCGGAAAAATTCCGAGCAGTTTTAAAAAATCCGGTAATCATATCCTAAAATGAGAAAGGAATCTACTGTTAGTTATCTTCGAAAAATCGGTACGACAATCTTAAGCACTTTTCTTGTTGACTTATGAATTTGAATATAACAACCTTCAACCTGTGCTATTTAGCTACTAATTTTGTTTATTAGCAAATTAAGGTTTCGAAAGAAAACAAACTAAGTAAAGATTTGAGCTCAACAACCCGAATACCTCTGGAAACACTATTCTCATTCATGTCCAAATAATGAACGAAGACATGGTAATCGATTACAGTGAAACAGATAATGAAGTGTGCTAACTAAATTAAAAATCAAATTAAAAACAGAAAAGGACAAAAAGCTAAGAGTTTACTCTTTCACACTTCGCGTTCGGCAAAGTCTATAAAAAATCAGTTAATAGTTCAAACAATGACAACTGATAAGCGCTATGTGGTTATGTGCTTACTTATGCGCTCAAATATTCGCTCTCATTTGTCTTAATGCCAATCGTTTGCTGTCAATTGACGCGACAAGTTAACAGACATACCCCCACCACTGCACCTTTTTCTGCAAGCCAACGTAACCACAGCGCAGCATAAATGGAAAAGAAATAAAAAATCGCTTTCATTAGCGCCACAAAACTAGCCACACAAACCAACCGAACCAACCGAACCAACCTGCTGCTGCTAACCGCTGATGGTTCAGAATAATCGAACTAATCAAACAACCGAGATGGGGATGTGCTTTAAAAGCGTCTGACGGCGAGTAGGAGCTGGCAGAGGTGAAGGGATAAGTAAGTAAAATGAGTGTTGTTGCGCAACCACAATAAAACCAAAGGATAAATAAAAGTAGTGCTGTGTAAGAGGATTTAGAAAATATATATACATATATTTTAAAAGCTCAAAGCTGTGTGTGGGTGTGTGTGTGTGTGAGTGTGCTTACTAGCCGTCCACTCAAAGTCAATTGCGGAGCAAACGTATGCGACCTCTGTACCCTTTGCTTAGATTAGGGATTCTCCTCAAAGGGTGAATGTGCAGGAAATTGTGAGAGTTTCAAGAGGAAGCTAGCAATATTGAGTCAAAGTAGCAGGAGGAAGTGCAGTTGAAGTTGAAGTACTCTTGCGCTCTTTCGACACTTTAATGACACACGCGGGGTTAAAGTAATCAACGTTAATGCTGCTGTGGCAGCAATGGGGGTTTATTGCCACTCGAACGAGTTGATTGGTATTTGAGTAGAGCGCATAGACCAACATACATACATACATTCATACACACGAAGGAAAACATTGTTGGCGCCGAGCGTTAAACAAACACGTAATGATGTTTATGGACGAAAAAGTTGCAAAGAGGAACAAAAATGCGCTGACACAAAGTATCGTAGGGAAGCAGGGGAGCGCAGCAGCAGGTGGTAGAAGTGGGCAGCGCCCAAAGGATGTTTGTTAGCCATTTTGTTGATAAGGTTGTGTGTCGAGTAGCAGAGCTGACGGCGGCAAATTGCTATATGGGGGTGTGTGTGTGTGCATGTGAATGTTGCCCTGACTTAACCTAATGTAGTCAGTGGAGCTGCTGGGAACTTATGCCTTAAAGCCGTTTGTAAGTGTTTGAAAAATAAGTGCAATATGTGAGCTATCAAGTGTCCGGCAGGAGCGAAAATGAGAATTGAGTCAGAAAACGACAAGAAGTGCATTCAAGTTCCAGGCAGAGTAGCATGCATTTACGTTGGATCAGAGCAAATACATACATATGTATGTATGTGGTGTGTGTTGCGGGTAGACAAATGTAACGCATGTCAAGGCATATGCCTCTTAAATATGTACATACATAAATTTGAGGGACCAACCACTGCAGGGGCTACCAAACGAGAATGTGGACAGAATTAAAAAAATATATATATATTATTAACCGTTATATTTCAAAAGCCCGCCAACCGTTCAAAATACCCCGTTGGAAGTGCGCAGATCACTCTTTGTTGACGACCAGCCGTTAACCAGAACTCCCCAAAATTCACCAAATAGTGGACAATGGACCATTCACTCGTGTTTCTACCGATCGCCACCAGCAATATAATCGTTAAGAGTACTCATCGAGCGACCAACCAGCCCATGCACCAGCTTACATTAGCGCCCCGCAGACGTTCACAGTCACCGCTGCCTACTTCTTATCATTTCAACTATCGCCAATATCATTCTGCTGTCAGCAGGGTTTCCCTTTTGGTGGATTATTACCAAAACTGGTCGAAAAAAGTATGGGCTGGTAAAAAGTTAAATTTTTCCCCTTTAAAGTATCTTCTTTGAAAAACACACACAACTTTTCCTTCCCGCGCTTAATTTCTTGTAGCTAAATATCTTTATTTTATAAATTTCTTTTCAAAAGCGTAGTCTACTTTATTGCATTAAAATTCGAACGCTTTAATGCACACTTTTTATGTACGTACATATGTACGTAAATAGTTTAAATAATTAATTAAATAAAAAGAAAAAATGGCATGTACTTACTCACTTTGATCGTTGGCAAAAAAATTAAAAAAAAAAAATCAATGCCGGCTTTTATAAATGGCAATTGTTAAATGAAAAAAAACACAAAAGACCGGCAGCAAAAAAAAATAAAACAGTAACGGAAATTTCTAGCTGCATATTGTTGTTTATATCTAAATTCCTTGGGGCATAAAACTGCATACCCAAAAATGTTAAAAAAATTCAGAGTAAAAAGTTCGAAACTTAGACGACATTTTTTGTATAAAGCTTGAGTCCTTGATTTTTATGGGTTTGGTTAAAGCGCAAACAATTTTTTTATAGCAAAAAAAAATTTTACTTGAAAAATATTGTTAATAGTAACAAAATCACCAAGCGGCTTTTTTAGTCACTGTATTTGTCTATAACAAATCTAGCTGATTTTTTTTTTTAAATTACGAAGTTTCGTTGATTCTTCTTGTTTCATCACTTTCGCTTTTGGTTGAAGGGAACCGAGAATATGCCATATGATTAGGCAAATACCATATCATAAAAGATTTTAATTTTTATTAAGGTAATTAAAAAATAGAGAAAAAACTATAGTTTTTATTCAAATAATAAAAAAGTTATTTCTAGATATTTTCCAGATTTGGTCGATTTTTCTTAAGTGAATCGTAAGTATTTTTTTCGTCAGTGGCAACCCTGGCCGTCAGTCTCTATTCGGTAGTTTCTATTCGTTTTTTGTTATGGTTTGTTTTATTTGGTGGTTATTTACCTGGTTTCGGGTACATACTCATCGAATAAAATTTGTGTACACTTGCAACTCAAAACTCTACAAAATTTTTGAAACTTATTTACAGTATATTCCGCTGCCTATTCGCTTAGGTGCATTTTCCGCTTACGTGCACATTTTTGCCGAAATACTGCTTCCTGAAATGGATATTGTATGAAATTTTCACTTTGAGCTGCCTTTGCCCTTAACTACCCTTTTCCGTTTAACAGCCTGCTGCTGAAGATGACATCCCTTCAACTTCAACAGCAATCGTGCATTCTACTGGTTACAGGGGTTTTTTCGGATACTTATAGCCATAATGATTATGACTTAATTCAGGTTTTATCTAATTTGTAACTAGAAACCAAGTTCGTTCTAAACAAGTAATTTTTAGCGAAAAAAACCCGACTTAAAAAAAAAATATATATATATATTTCATGATTCAATGATCGGATCTTAACCAAATTAGTATGGGACCACCTCGACGTGGTCCAAAGTAATGCGGTAACATACATACATAAAAAAAAAAACAAAAATATTCCGACGAACTGATAACCTCCTCATTTTTTGGAAGTCAGTTAAAAATGCGTTATTTGTTTTCTACTTGAAAGAAAAGTCATTTAAGTTACTTTAAATTATGCCCACAATTTGGGAAAATACTCAAGTGCATGGGTAAATATTGGGATATTTTCCGGTAAATACCCAATTTACCAATTAGGTTTTTACCCATGTCTAATCACTAGTCTGGATGTATTGAGTATTCCCCCTTCTTTCTTTTATCCTGAGAGAATCACAGTTACAGTGTCTCTTTGCTTTAAAGCTTGCAGAAGATCGGCTTTAATTTTAGGGTGCTAAATTGTGCAGATTTGTGAAACCCAGAAGGTTTGAGGACATAAAATTTCCAGCTCGGCGGCTTTCACGCCCTCTGGCGTAGTATCGAAGAAGTAGAGGTCAAAGTGGGGTTTCAATAGGAACTCAAGTTACATGAATAAACAAAAATAGGTGCTCGATGACTTCTACTTGTGTAAAAGATTGTGCATTTATGGTTGACTCAAAAGTGTTGCATTTTACTATGGATGCTTAAAAGCCTATTTAGTGGTTTCTATTTTGTACTTACCTATTTAAACCATCAATGCAGACACCAAAAACGCAAGGATTACTGAGGCAAGCGAAACCAGCTTGGCCACAACCGAATGCGGCCAATAGGCAAAGTACCGGCAACAACCAAACAAAGCTGGATGCAAGCGTAGTATTAGTAGCAGAGTTTTTGTTGTTGTTGTTGTTGTTGTTGCTATTGGCAGTAGATTTTGATGTAGCGCGACAACAAAACTGCTCAACAGTGGCAAATAGCTGGAGAGAAACTGTAGCCCATGAAGCAGCTGTGGATGCTGTTGGTATTGCAGGTGTACAGCTCACCGGTGTTGTAGTGGAAGTTGCTGTTGTTGTTGGGGTGGTCACATAGTTTGCTGACATTGCGGTGGCAATGTGGGGTGGGCGTGTGCTGGGACACTCAAATGCAGATTTTAAACTTTTTATAGTTGACCTTTTAGTCTTGGGAGCGGATGTTGTTGTTGTTGGGCTTACTGCTGTTGTTGTTGTTGTTGTTGCTGCAGCTGATGCTTTTGCTTTCTTTGTTGCACAAGTCAAATTCATCAAAACATTCTTCGCACCCACTTTGGAAGTCGTTGACTTCGCAGCAGCATACCGCAGCTGACCGCCGCCGACTGACGGAAGTGGTGACTTTGCGGATGCCGTGGTGTGTGTTGCGGGCGTTTGCTGCACATTTCCATCAAGTAGCTGACTTTGCTGGCGACATTGCTGCTGTTGCTGTGGTTGCCTGGCTTGTTGTTGGCGATTTTGTTGCTCCGCATCGACCACTTGCTGATCTGTCGAGTGTAAGCCGGTTGATTTCTCAACTTGCGTTGCTCGCTTGCTTACCACATGTGTGTTGTTGTTATGGTTGTAGTTACTTTTTGACTTATTTTTGTTACGCAATTGTTGTCGGCATGCACTACCGGTCACATCAGCTTCAACTTCCACTTCATCTTCCACTTCAGCTACACCACTCACAACTGTGTCGTCCTGCAGCGCCCGTCCCTCCAACATCCTTCTCAGAGGAGTTCGTTGTTGATCCTTGTCGTGCGGCACCATATATTGCGGATATTTTGCGTGTTGCGTGCCAATATTTTCACTACTTGTCGTCAACATTTTTCTGGTGTAATTGGTGCAACAATCGGATTTACTGCTGTCACTTTCGTGCCGGTCCTGATTCGCATCGCAGTCCTTATCGCGTAGCGCTTTATTGTTGTGACTTTGTCGATTCGCGTCGTTAGTGTAGTTATTCTTGTTGTTGTTGTTATAGCATTGACTGCTTGTTCGCGCATTCTTAATTGGCATTACCAGCGCCATTGCCGTGGCCACCCGCCCATCGGCTGGCAATGCAGCTGCCTTATCGGAGTGGGTCAATTGCGCTATTTGCCCGCCTCCGCTTTTCTCCCTCAGCATATTCAGCACTATTTCGCTACCCACGTCTGCGCTTGCATCTGACGCTGCAACTATTTTTGCTGCCGCTGGCGGCAAGCGTCGTTTTTTCGTCATCTCCCTGCAGATTATTTCAAGTAATTTGCATTAAAGGTCCGCTCACAGCACCCACTGTGTGGGGTGGAGATAGGCGAGCGACCGCGCGGCTACTCCACTCCGATTCACTCCACTCGCAGCAGCTCAATTCCCGGCGCTAACTATTTATCGTTTTGTGTGTAATTTTTTTTCGCTTTTTCTTTCGTTTTTTTTTCGTTTCCTTTTTTTTTTTTGGCGCACTATCAGTTACTTCAGCAGTTATTTATGTCCTCGGCGCTCAATACTTTTTATACAATGTCGTTGCTTTTCTGATTGCTACACCTCCTTTGGCTCGTTGGCTCGTTGTGTGTCCTGTGCTGTTTTCTCTTTACGCTATTGATTGATTATTCGCTGCTGCTGGTGCTGCTGCAAAATGCAATATATCCTCACTTTCTGGACTCCTCCCTCTCGGTTGGGTTCTTAGTTTCCTGTTGCATGCCTGTCGTTCATTTTACACAATTTCTTTTTGTTTCGGCAATATTTATCTTGTTGTTGATTTTTTCTCGTTCTCTTTTGCAAGCATAGTTTATGATATGGTTATTGTTGTTGTTGTCGCTTTGCTATTCTTCTTGCTTTTGCTAAATCCGCTTAAGTATTTTATTAACTTTTATCGTTTGCGTAAATTGTTTATTTCCTTTCGGAATACTCAGCTCTGCTCTCCCTCCCACCTTATTTGTTTCGTTTTTTGTTTTATCTCATCGTCGATCGACACTATTGAGCTTTGGTTATTGTTTTCTTTCAGCAGCCCTGTCTAGGTTTTACAAGTTATCGTATGCTGGTTTGCAGCGCGAAATGGATTTGCATTTTTGATTATTGCCCTTTGCAATCGAGCATCATAGATTTAACTCTGCAAAACAAGAAAAAAGAAGAGTAATTGTAGTTGTTATGAATGAGAAGTCAGTTCCATATACATATATTTCTTTGTATTATTGCCTTTTGCGAAATATATGTACACATATGCATACATATATGTACATTTGTATGCAAATAAATGTATTTATAAGTAGTTTTGGGCTAGTTTTCATAAAAAAAAAGTTTCCAAAAATTCTAAAAGTACTCGAAAAACTGTCCAAAAAATTTCTTAGAAACTTCGAAACATCTAGAACAAAACCCGCGATAATGTTCTAAAAGAATCCATCACAAAACAAGATAGAAGATAAAGACAATCCCGAAAATATTTTTAAAAATCTATAAAAATATATCGAAATTAGTTGACTCAATAAATAATACGAATAAAAACTCCAAAAAATACGAGACAAAAAAAATTCGAGAGTACGTCGAAAAGTCGCAAAAATCTTTAAACATTTTAAATAAATCCCGTAAGCGACCGATAAATTTCTAAGCAAAATCCAAACACTTTCTAAAACAACCCGAATAGTTTCGAAAATTCTAAAAAAACCCCTTTCAAAAAAATATTTAAAAAATTTCTAGGCGAAAACTTCAGAAAATTCTGAAAATTTTTTTACAATTTAATGGAAATTCCAGAGAAACTTCTAGAAAACTCCAGAATGTACAAACAAACTAAAGCTAGAGTTTCGAAATGGTCATAAAAAGGTTAAAAAAATACCGAAATTTAAGAAAATGCCGAAGAAGTGCCTAAAGAACCTTAAAAAAATAGAAACAAGAAAAAAATATTAGCGTTAAATGCAAAAAAGTGCGGTAGGAAATTTGAAAATTTGCTGAAAAATCCTGACAAAATTCCAAAACTACCAAAAAAAATGAACTATTCGGGATAAAATTTTAAAGGTTACTAAACAATCTCAAACAGAATGAAATTTCGAGAAATAAACGAAGAAATCATTTGAAATTCCGAGCCAAATCGAAAACTACCTGCCGAAAAAAGGTTGCAAAATATATTTGTATGAGCACATGATTTGGCAACTATAACCAATAAATGTTATTAAAGCCAAATCATGCGCTGAGAGAAACATATTTAGTTGACGTAACTAAACCTTTTTCACTGTGCCACAAAAAAAAAAGTTTTGTAAATTAAAAAAAAAAAAAAAAATCGTAAAAAATCCAAAATGTGCAGAAAAATTACTGAAAAATTCCAAAAGGGCCGAAATAATTTCGAAGAGTCTATTGCAATCTCAAAGCGCCTCTCAAAATTCTCGATACTAGAGAATCTGAGAACATTCAAGCGAATTTCCCAAAAACATTCAAACTCACTCACTCAGAAAACTCACGTATAATCCTAACTTCCAAAGTCACTTATTTAAGAAAACACTAAAAAGTTAAAAAAATGCTCCGAAAAATAAGAAGGAAAGAAATGTCCCAAAAACTTCGAAACCTTAAAAGTTCCTAGAGATCCTAAAAACATCATTACAAAAAAAAATCCGAGAATTCTCGAAAATTCGTAAGAAGATCAAAATGCCACGTAAATAAGAGGTCTCACGGCAAGTCAAAAAAGTCCCCAATACCATGTCCCAACAATAAAAACAGCAAAAAAAAAAAATGTAAAAAATCTCAAACAACTCCAGAAGAACTACTCCATTGACTAGTCTTTCACAGGGCGTTAAATCCTGGAAAGCACCTTGGGTAAACTTTGGATGACGATCGAGAACAAACGATGCTTTAGACCAGACGAATCACTTCCGTGCGGCTTTTGCAGTCTGTGGATCAAAAACGTAACAATGAACAGTTATTGAAAAGACGATGCTGCTCTCGATGAACAAAAGCCAGCCAAAGAAACTTTTGGCCAAGGCAAATTCATACTCGTGTCTTTGCACATATCACACATCGTATTATAGAACAGCTTTTCTCTACGCTCCGTAGCGCAGAAGTACCTAAATCGAAAGTCTGTTTTGTTTAAAAAGTGCATTGAAAAAATCCATCAGCTATCGATAGTTTCGAAGTCATGTCATCAACACCAAGCAACAATCTAATGTTAGAGATTTTAAAGTGAGTAGCTGTTAAAAGGGTTTTTTTTGCCTACAATGTTAGATTTTGCAGCGCTTAACAATAGATAACGAGCACTCAAAGTTTGATGTTTTTATGTTGTCGAACACCCATAAGCGTGATTCAGTGATTTTGCAGCAAAAGTTGTGCGTTGACAGCGTTAGATAAACGGCGAATTAAAAAAACATGTCTGTGAGGCATGTAGAATCAACAACAGCAGGAACGGCACAGACAAAAACTACTACAACAAATGTTGAGGGGTTAGTACTCAGCGGGTAACAGCCATAGAAAATGGCATTCGATAAATGCAATGTAATGCATCAGCAAAGCTGTGCGTTGGTAAGTACAAAATTCCAGCGATTTTTTGCATCAACCACTCAACGATGCAGGCCCGCGGGATTTTGCCAACAAGTTGGACAACAGATTGAAACAGGGCATTAAAACTCGCTGAATAACTTTAGCAATGCGTGTATGTATGTTAGTATGTGTGTGTGTGGTTCACGATGATTTTTGTTTTTTTAATTTTTGTGAGTTTAGGCATTAACTGCCGAGGTTTTTTTTGCGTTAGTAGTGGAAAGTTTTTTACATTTGAACTTGTGACAATGTAATTAGGGAAAAGCTAGATTTTTTGCATAGGCCCCATTTATCTAAATTCCGCTGGAAATGTTACGTGGGCCAACCAGTCCTTGTATCTTTTTTCGTTCTCTGGTTTGAATGGGAGATTCTTAATTACGGATCCTACCAACTAGGTTAGGTGGCAGCCACGCGCTGAGTTCACTTAGACATTCATTACGTTGTCTATTGTTGTACCACATTATAGATTATTTGTGAAACGCCAGGTAATGTCTTTTAAGTTAGTAAAACCGCTAGTTGCTCAAAATAAAGTCCCACAGGCAGCTGATGTCCACTCCAGAGAGTTCTTTGTACCTCGGGCGTGTTGATGAAATACGTGCCTTAAACAAGCGAAAGCCTGGCAATTGAGTAATTAGTTGTGAGATGATTCCAGCTCGTCACCTACTGCGGTAGTCGGGCTCCGGAGCCAAATTAAGTCGAAACGAATGGGTTTCTAAAGAGCAGTATCCCGTAAGTCCACCTGCCATAGTCTAGAGTAGAGCAAGTTTGAGATGATTCCACTTCATCATCCTCCATGCATCTGGTGCAGTAAGGGTCAACGATGATTTTCAGCCTTACAGCATGCTTACCTATCGCATGCACTCCCACCAGTAGCGAGAGATGTAACTTGCTAAGTCTCTAGAGCTCCCCAGACTGCCTCCGGTCTACACGTGGCCAGAAGAATTTTGCCACCTTGCATTCCAAGGTCTTCGACCAGCGCTCGTTGAGCTGAGCCCATCTGTCTAGAAGCAGATCACATGAGGTCAGGTGAACTCCCAGACCTTCTGTATCCGGAAGTAATTCCTCAAGGGTTCCCTACCTTGCTAGGTCATCGGCCATGCAGTTTCCAGCGATTTCGCAGTGGCCTGGAACCCAAATAAGCTTAACAGGGAAGTAATCCGATGCGGTCGATAAGGAAGTCAGACACCCTTTTATCGTTCTCGAACGCAGTGTCAAGGAGCCAAGAGCCTTGATAGCTGCTTGACTGTCAGAATAAATATTCACCTCCCGAAAAGGTGTTACACTAGTGAGCAACCAATCTGAAGTCTCTTTTATTGCAGTCACCTCTGCTTGGAAGACACTGCAGTTATCCGGTAACCTAAATTTCAGGCTTATGGAGAGTTCTTCACAGAAGACACCTTCACCTACCTTCGCATTCAGCTTCGAGCCATCTGTAAATAAGGACCACGATTCCAGATACTGCACCCCCTAATCACCTTTCGCTGGAATGTGGATGGTGAAAGGTCCATTCGCACCCAGAACCGGTGTGTAGTGGTCTGTCCGGGTCGGTAGGAACCCGAAGCCTTTTAGAATACTGGAGTGCCGATAGCTCGAGGCGAACTTAAAGCCCACCCCGTTTAGCCTTACTGTGGCATACACTAAGGCATACCTGCTAGCTATACCTATAGGCACAACATTTAACAGGGCCTTCAATGCCAGTGTAAGTGTGATTCGAAGCGCCCCACTGATTCCAATTAAGGCAGCACTCTGTACCCTTTCCAACTGCTTCCCGATGAAGACAAGGCCTTGTCCAGTGCGTTCCACTAAACTGAAACCCCACGCAATAAAATTGGCTTAATTATAGTCTCATAAAGCCAGTGAACTGCCTTCGGCGAAAGATTCTAGCGCTTGGCTAGTTTTTGGATGTTGCTCGGACAAAAATTCGACCATGGGTCGTACAGGGTGGTGGTGTGCATCCCTTATCACTCGATCACGGCCGGCCCCATGCGAAAATTTCTGTTCCATATTAAATAAAACTCGCTTCCTTTAAATGTACAGATGCATACATACATACATACATATATGCACCATTGATTCTGTCTCTCAAATTATTGATCTTTGACAAATTCATTAATCTTACTCGTCGATAGTTGTTTTTACTCTATGCTATGGAAATTCGATTGTGAATGCAAGCTTAAGCCATTGCGGGTGTAGATGCGGTTCTTTGTCTTTGTTTAAAATGTCGACTGCAAAAATCCACTCACTCACACACACACACACGCACACATACCCCACTCACTACCGCTATAGTAGAGCAGTCTCATCGACCCCTCTACTCCATGCGATTAATGGTCACTTGGTGGCACTCGCATGATTTACGATTTTAATTTTTGCACGAGAGGATTTGATGCAGCCTCAATTTAATGCCTTTGCATGGCTCAATTCGCTCACTAGCGGACACTTGCCGAGAAGCCAACTCAGCATTTGCTCATCTACGGACGGTTGGATTTTCTTCTACTCCTCTTACTTTCCATTTCATAGCAATATTTTCATTGTCACTCTTTGTATGTCTCCTCGAGAAAATCTTCGCATTTCTTGAGCTTTGCATGAATTATT